GGTATATTTATTTGGTATATTTGTCACATATTGGCATTTTGTTATTAATAATTTATTATTCATAATTATGTGATAATAATTCTTCTTCCATTTTAGAAATATCAATATCATTATTATACCAATTAGGAATTATTTCATCATTATTAATATTACTAGAATTATTAATATTAGAAATATTAAAATTAATAAATTGAATAATTTGATTTAAATTAATTGAATGATCATTTTCTATATTTATACATTTAAATGGTTTTTTAGAAATTAAAATATTTTTAAATTGTTTAATTCTATAAATTTTATAAAATGGCCAAACAAGTAAATTAAACCAATCTTTAAATTCTTCATCTATGGAATTTACATCTTTTTTAGCATCTCTTTTACATCTTCTTTCAAAACAAATTTCCTTTTTAGCATTTAAAAATATATTTATATTAAATAATGAATTTATAATTTCTAATTTACAACTTGATAAAAAACCCTCCACTATAATAAATATATTATTATTTAAATTATTTAAATTAAATTTATCATTCCAATAAATTGGACCTAATTCTAATAATTGATTTTTTAATTCATTTAATTTATTATTATTTAATTGATTTAATTTATTATTATTTAATTCTTTTAATAAATTAATAACATTTTCAATAGTTTGTTTAAATAAATTAAAATTTAAAGAATGTTCACATTCATAATTTGGCCATGAATATTTTCCAAATTTACATTTAGGAGGAAATGTAATAAAAGAATCTAAACTAATTGGTCCGATAGGTGAATTTAATTCTATTACTAATTGTTCTGCAAGTGTTGTTTTACCACTACACGTTGCTCCACTTATATTTATTATTATTATTTTATTATTATTGGTATTAGTATGTTGTTGTTGATTGTGAGTACATGTTGGAGTGTTAATGACATTTTGTTCAAGCATTTTTTTTATAATGTTGATTAGGGAGAGTTCTCTTTTTATTGAAATATATTTAATTATACATATTTATAAAACTAAATTAATTTATTAAAACATTAGTTCTGATAAAGTCTTTTTTGGTTGGAGTAGAAATGGATCATCTTGTTTTTTAAATTGTAATTGAATTGGATTAAGTTTCTTCTTTGGATTTAAATCACCCAAATTAAGATCTTTTAAAAGTTCATTTGCACTTCCAATCTCTGATAATTTAGGTCTTGTACCAACAACATTACTTGTACTTTCATCTATAACATGATCTAAACCTTTTGGTGATGTTTGAAGTGGTGGTAATTGTTTTACACGTTTCTTTTCACTCCCACTATCTCCATCTCCTTCACTTGTTGGATTAATAGTCTTTTTTTTCCTCTTCTTTTTCTTTTTAGTTGCTGTTGGTTCTAATTGAGTTGGAGAAGAACCTATATTGTTATTGGTAGTATTGGTATTGGTTTCATTTGTTGTTATTGGGGAAGGTGCTCTTGGTTGTTGATTATTGTTAACATCAATAGAATTCAATTTGATATTTTCTACTGGTTTTTTTG